TCTAGTCATTGATATGCACTGCTAATGACTTCTATAACACAGTAAAACAGCTGTCTAATCTCTTCTCGTGTTTAATGGTAATTTAACAGATATCAATTTGTGATGAATACTACTAATAACTTTGGTTTGATTATTAAAATATCATATTATTTCTCTTACCCCATGTTATTTGTATGTATTGTGTTCACTCTTACAATTCGTTCTAAGTTTAAAACAAAGTACTAAACATTTTAATGTTCATCAACAATTCCTAATTCATAAATTTCATTATTAAACAAATTCATTTATTATCAGAGAGGGGTTTTGTGGTGATTTTAGTAATTTTATGGTTGAATTCATGAGTCATTTGAAGCTAGACCACCATGGAAATCCTGGAAGCACTGGACGGCCATTTCATCCCAGTATGGAGCTTCACAGCAGTGTGCATCTACGATCTTGTCCTGCAAGATTCGAACCCATGATCTATCAGTCTCGCTCGTGATCACCTAACCTCTAGACGACAAAGCCGGCATGTCTAGCTTCAACCAATCCTCGAAATTGCGTGACCGTCCACCACTGTCCTCAGGGAGTTACTATCTCACAAGAGATTTAGTGGTCTAGAGAATAAGCGTTCACGCGCGAGACTGGTAGGTCTTGAGTTTGAATCTTGCCGGGTGGGATCGTGGATGTGCACCGACGAGGAGTCCCTATCTGGGACAAAACAGCCATCCAATGCTTCCAGGACTTCCATGGTGATCTAGCTTCCTATGACTCATGAATTCAACAATAAAATTCATTTATACTTGAAATTACCCATACTCTTTTGTATAATCGGATGAGAATTATATCAAAAGGATATAATAGCTCATTTACATTATCTTGGTTTAAAAACAAAAAAGGCAAAAGCAATACATAATAAGCAAATTTATTTGCTCTTTAAAGAACTTAAACATTGTCTATGATATACACAGATAAAAGTAGGAAACCCCCTCCCCAAAAAGACGTATAAGATCACTATTGCAATGTATTTCTTGGACGATTCGTAAAATCATTGTGACAATTATTATCTTTCATGGAATAACCTTTGTAAACTATGCGACAATAAAATATTTGCTTGTATATTATATATATATATATCAAAAAAAGAAATTTAGTTTTTGCGTTGGTATGTTTTTCTTGTGACTTAAGGCGATATGGAGGCAATCCACACAGGATGCATATATGCCAACATTGCATTCTTAAATAACAATGGAAAGATACAAGTAAAACAACACCAAGTGTTTCTCTTTTTTGTTTTTTTTTAGAAAAATATATTTTAAAATGGAATTTGGCAATCATAAAGTTTTATAAATTAATAACATTATAATACTATTATAAACTAATTCGAAAGGTTACTAACGCTTAGAAATCAGTTTATGTTTTTTAAAATATTTTGTTTCTCTTAGTATGATTGTTTTTCGTTGTTACTTTGTGTATGAGTTGGAATGTTGGAAAAAACGGAATAAAAAAGAACACAATCCCATTTTCCTCACTAATGACATGTACTGATATTTTAACAAGTTATCTGTTTCTTTTGTTTGTTTGAATACATCATTATAATTATTAATTGCATAATTTCATTGCACAACTTATAAAAGGCTCTATCAGAAATATCGTAGTTGCCAGCAATATACATTTGGATTATTTGGATGTCGATTAACTAGACTGCTAACATCTAACTGGTGATTACTTAATATTTATCTTCAAGATCGACCAAGAAGTAATGGAAACTTGTTGAAATAATTTTTGCTGAAAATTGTATATTGTGAATGATACTTATTCAGTACTAAAACAAAAAAAAATAATTCACTTAAAATCAATATTGTTTTATTCATTTGATATTGTTTATTTGAATCATCCCATTGATGTTTCGGATTGCAATTGATCAGTCTGTTATTGGCATATGTGCATACTTTGCATAATGCCTCAATATTGCCTAAATTCACAAGTATTATAAGCAAAGATGAATAGTGGCTAGCAGTGCAATCTTGAACGCGCGTTTCGTCAGGTGGATTTACCTGCATCTCGAAGTTGATTTCCTTATGAGACTCGGATTCAGTACCGTTCGCTTCAAACATCATCGCGTCATCTATTTAGCTACTGGATGCTGATATCCACTTGCTTGTGCAATGTATTGAAGTTTAAATTTAATTGGTACTGTTTACTTGAATATATGATCTTGTTGATAATCAAAATTAAATTATGTAACCATAATCAAAAGCTGTTTATTATTTTCTTTGTTTTTCTTGTTATTTTTAGTATAATGTTGTGGAGATGACGTAAAAAGACTAAGAAATTATGTGTCAGTAATTTAATTCGCGGGATAAATACGCAATACAAAACGGAAATCGGATATTTAGAGATTTATATAGCGATCTTAACCACGTCTATAAATTAATCAAAGGAAGTTAGACATTAACGCCGTTGGATACCGACTCAGTGACTTAGAGATTAAGCGTTGGCGCGCAAGATAGAAGGATCTGGATTCTATATCCACTTGTGGATGCAAATCGCTCGGTAGTCCTATACTAGTATGAAATTGTAGTTCAGTGCCTCCAGATTTTCAATGGTTGTCTAACCTAGATTGGTTTATAAACTCAATAGAATTACACCTAATTGTTATTCTAAAAGCAGTTAATACTGATAAAATTGGTAGTTATTCAAGTTTTTAACCAAAACATAAATTTATCCCCAAAATGTATCGTTAAGGCCAGTACATTTATCAATAAATAATAAATTATAATACACATATTACACTTAGGTTAATTACTTTACAATTGATGAAATGTACTGAAATGTGCTGTATGAAACATCCTTTATAAATATAGAGAATTATATTTTTAAGGTAAAAAAAATCTATTTTGACTTTTAACAATTTGATCAGTAATAGATAACCTGATAAAATTTTACAGAAGCAAACATAAAACTATCAGTATGAAATATGAAAATGTTTCCTGTATTTGAGAAATAAATGTTATTATTAGAAGGGCTTTTGTAGAGATTTTAGTAATTTCAATAGTTGAATTCATGAACCACCATGGAAAACCTAGAACCACTGGACGGTCGTTTCGTCCTAGTATGGGACTCCTCATCAGTGCACATCCACGATCCCGCGCCTCGCGAGATTCGAACATAGGATCTATCAGTCTCGCGCGCGAACGTATAACCTCTAGATCACTGAGCCGGTCAGTATCCTACGGTGGTAATGTCTGACTTCAACCAATTCATGAAATCGCGTGACCGTTCACCATAGTGTTTAGTGAGTTACTATTTCACAACAGACCCGGTTGAAGCCCACTGGTTATTGACCTTATCAAACTGCTTAGAAGTACTATCATTTTAAAAACTGTGTACTGATATTATGAAAGATTTATTGCAACCTGTTAAATAAATGTATGTCTGAACCTGCTTCGGTTTGGGCACCCGGGCAGTTTCACAGCCCTCAAACATATCAAATGAGATCTGTGTGGTGCATATGTATTTGGTGCCTCCTTGTACCAATATCTATGTTTTAATATAAATATAAATATAAATAAATGTCTGAATACTGGGTTATCATTCTAAGCTAAAATTATTCGTAAAAGATTAATAATAAACATTAATTTTCATTGATAATGTGAATTGAATCGATATATTGTATATAATACCTACAAACAGTATCAGAATACTATTTACTACTGATAATTAAACAATTTACATTGAGATAAGTTCCCATTGTCTTTGTTTCAATGTTCAGTGAAAAGGAGAAAAATGTCTTGAACTTGTGTTTGAAATAAAACTAATTTGATTATTGCCTTAAACATATGATCTTATTGATAATCGAAATTAAATTATGCAACCGTAATCAAATGGTGTTGATAATTTTCTCCTTGTTTTTTCTGTTATTGTTCGTATAATGTTGCGGAGATTGTTGAATTTCATCGAAATCAGAGTAAAACAACAAGACAGCCATCCAACTAAATGGCCGTTTCTTCTTAGTGTGCAACTCACCAGCTGTAAGCATATATAACTGCACAAATAAGATTCAAATCTTGAAGCTTCGGTTTCGTGCACAAACGCTAAAACTCTAGATCAATGAACAGAGATGCAATAGTTAACAAACAATTTACCAGTTCATTCATTTTCACTGCTGTTATTCTACCAAATAAAGAATGTTGGCATTTTTAACTTATATAACAGCGATTAAGTTTAATAATTTAACCTATCAAAGTAGTTGATTGATTTTTAATGTAGTCACTTTTTAAAATCTACTAAGCAGTTTAGTCTCTCTATAAATCCTCATACTAGTAAAGCCATTCACTAAGTTTATTGATTATAAATCAACGATAAATTAATCAGTATCTATTTTCTAGATGTTCACTTTCTAATCGAATCAGTGGAAAAATTTCATTTTCCTTGTACAATAAACTTAGTAATGATATTCATAGTAGTTTGTATTACTTTCTGAATTATTTTATATTGAGAGGGGGTTTTGTGGTGATTTTAGAAATTTCACTAGTTAAAATCATGAGTCAATTGAAGCTAGATCACCATGGAAAACCTGGAAGCACTGGACGGCTGTTTCGTCCTAGTATGGGACTTCTCATCAGTGCGCAGCCACGATCCCACCCCCCTTGAGATTCGAACCCAGGACCTATCAGTCTCGCGCGCGAGCGCTTAACCATTAGACCACTGATCCGGTCGGCATCATACGGTGTTAGTGTATAACTTCAACCAATCCACCAAATTGCGCCGACGTACACCACTGTCTTCAGTGAGCTTATATCTCCACAAAACCCCTTCTCATGATAATAATCTGCTCACTAGTGACTGATTTCAAGGGTCTTTCCTGGGGTTCTAGCGAGAAGCTATTACCAGTGGAGTTAAACCAGATCTATTGTGAGATATTTTATTATAATTTAAATAGTGTTTAATAATAAAACTTTAATCCGAATCATTTTATATGAATTACATTACATTAAATCTAATAGTACATGGCTTACCGACAAATGAAACGTCCAGGTTTACATATTGGTAAAAAATTCTCGTTATTATTACCACTGCCATTCATATAACTATGGTTATTATCACCATCCAATTTTTCTATTTTTAAAGTATCATTTTTTGTCCCATTCTCATTTTCATTTAATATACAACCATTTTTTATTTGATTATTTTGTTCTTCATTCTGTAAAATATTTTCATGGTTGCCATCCTGATTAGTATTGTGTTTCCCATTTTCTTGTATATTATTTGATTTCCTATTAGTTTGTTGATCATTTATTTTCCATTTTTTAAGACCATTGATTTCTTTTTTTAAGTAATCATTACAGTGACCATTGAAAATTGACATCCTGAGATGATGATGATGATGATGATGATGATAATTAGTGATTCAGTAAAGCTTATTTTGTATATTTATACAATAGTAATTAATGGTGTTACTTCTTTTTTATATCACTGTTTTCATAGGAAATATTATTGGATATTGAACTAATAATAGTAATGATACTAATATTAAATAGTAACAAGTACCGTATTATGATTAATAATGATGTAAAAGAACAAAATAGTAATAATAATATTAGTAATGATAGTACCGGTTAGTTTATAGTAATTCTCTCATTTATGATTGGTTAAATAATACATTCTAACTTTTATGATATTTCCATGTGTTCATCATTCAAATAAACAATAAATATGAAAATAACATAGAAAATACAATACGAATACATATTCAAATACACATATACACAGATGTACACATATGTACACATATAATCTGACATGTATAGGTGTGTATCCAAACTATATTGGGATTAATTGTTTACAACTGTTTACTATCACTAATTGAAATAGAGTAATTCCACACACACATACACACAAAATAAGGGTACGTGAAGATTTGTATTTTTTTGTGCTTCTAATTATACAATGTTAATTATATAACCACAATAATGAATAATTAAATTCATTCAACAATTAGAGTTTGTCAGTTAGCTTAAATTTTACTTCATTTTATGATGGTATGGTATCTGGACAAATATTTACTTGATGTTAAATTCTATTAGAAAAGTTTAGTAAAATTCCTCTTTTTTTTCTTTTTTTCACTGCCAAATATTTTATTTTTTGATTGTCATTTGTGTGTGTGTGTCATAAATATTTTAGAAAGAAATAAACTTCTGAATGTAGGTGTTGTTTTAAACAAATTTAAAGATATTGAAGTTAAATCATTGAATTCATGAATTGATTAATGATAGATTATTAGTGAAAATTTGAAAACAATGAACGGTCATTTTGTCTTAGAATGAAACTACTCAATAGTGCGTATCTATTCATGATCTTGAAAAGTGGCATTCGAATCAAGGATCTTCGATCTAACGCAATTTAACGCTTAACTCTTTATATCATTGAGCTGGCATTCAACGGTGTTGTAGTGTCTGTGCTTCGTTAACCAATCACTCTCGTAACCGTTATCATATGATCCTTAACAGTGTTTGAAATTAGAAGGCAAGGAGAAGGAGCGACTACAGTTTATTAGCAGATAGCTCAGACCACAGAGCAGAGAGGTAAATAAGTGAGTCAGCGAGTCGTGAGTGTACGATATAGGGAAGTGAATGGATCATCGAATCGATTAAGCAGTTAATAATAAAGCCAGCAGAATGAATATATGCGTAGGCGGTAAACAATGTTCAAGCATACATATTTCCTACAAGCACAACAATAATAAAGGTACAACGATATAGATAAGTTGTTATAGTACGGATGACTCTTTCCGTTAAATAAGTTAACAAAAGGGCTTAACTAAATTAGATGTGAACAAACTCAATTGCATGTGAGCTACTATAGTGTCAATTAATTCATGATCTTTTCGTTCAGTGCTTCCAGGTTTTCAATGATGGTCTAGATTAGATCGAATGATGAATTCAATTATTAAAATTGCTAAAAATCTCCACAAATTGTCATTCTGATGTTGAAGTTATTCTAAAAAAAGGATTCAAATCATGAGGTAACTAAATTTTCGACTTATTTCAAATATATATATATATATATATATATATATATATATATATATATATATATATATATATATTCATGATAGCGTTTATACAAATGAACCACTTAACTTATGGATAAACGTACAGACATAAATGGAGTTCCTTACGTCATTATTATGTAGTAAATGTTGGTAGATTTAATGATTCAATAAATTATTACTTTATCTAAACTTTAGATTCTCGTGTTAAGAATTTAGTTTTGTACTCTGATTAGATCTCTGTTATACTGTTCTATTTAAAACAGAATAATAACTGGAATTGACTAGAAATTAAGAGATGTAATAAGAGACTTCACTTCAGCAAAGTGATTTAACCTTTGAATTGATGGGATTCACTTTTAAAGACAATACAGTTGTTCCCATAATTGATTAATCACTGGGTGGTGATCAATGTCATGTGTGTCAAGTCCTTATTAGTGCAGATCAAAGGCTATCGACCATGTTGCAATGTGGCCACCAGTCTAGGTGACTCGACACTGCGTGCACTATGTTGAGACTAGATGGTGGTTGCAGGTAGTCGACAGGAAACCCTGGGCCCTGTTTCGTGCTACATCTCAGTCCTACAGGATGTCGGTCGCGGCCCGGATAGCTCAGTGGTAAGGTCTCTGACTATGAAGCTGGGCGACACGGAATCGAATCCGTCAAGGAGCACCAGTTCGCTCAAGATTACAGGTACACTTTGCTGACGAGTGCCAAGTAGCACGAAACCCGGGTCCAGGGTTTCCTGTCGACTACCTTCAACCACCATCTAATCACAATACAGTTGTTATTCCATAAAAATAAACTGTGTGGTAAAACATTTGGTTAGCTTTGAATTGAAAGATATGTTCAATAATATCACAAGGATTAAAATGAAAAGATGATGTAATTCCCTTTCCACGCTATATAACTAATATTACTATAATTTGACTTTTTAGTTAGTAAATTGTTTCATACTAATGAGTGCTTTTTTAGTGCACTATTTAAAAATGCAATGAGTTACAATCTGTTTTAACAGCTAATTTATAATTGTGCATTAAATGCAGGGTAAATCGTAGAGTTGAATTTATCTCTGTTTTATACTTTGGTATTTACTTATGAATAATTAGAATTATTACTGCAATTCACTTCACCATTGACTGATCACTGAGTAGTGATCAATGTCCAGTGTATCAGGTCCTCCTTAGTGCAGATCAAATTGTATAGACCAAGTTATAATGTGACCACTAGTCTAGGTGACTGGACATCGTATGAACCGTGTTGAGATAATCAAAGTATTTTGTATGTAAGTAAAACAGTATATGATTTAATATATCATTACTTTCACTTAGTTGAATACTAGAAAAATATTTCTGGTCTGGAAGTAAGAAAAGTTACATTGAATACATTTTTTCCACAAATCGATTTCCAACATCAGTCAAGGTGAAAACAGGAATATTGTTGAACTTATATGCTCACTAGTGACTAGCTCCAAGATGGATTTCCTGGAGTTTCAGTGAGAAGCTGTGGTGAATGGGGTTCAACCGTGTCTGTTGTGGGGCAATTAGACACTGATGACAATGGTGGATGGTCGCACAATATAGTGGATTAATTGACGTTAGACATTAACACCGTTGGGTTCCGGTTCAGTGGTCTAGAGTTTAAGCATTCGCGCACCCTGCTTGCGAGGTCGTGGATGAGCGCTACTAAGGAGTTCCATACTAGGACGAAACGGCCGTCCAGTGCTTGTAGGTTTTTAATGGTGGCCCAACATTGGTCTATTCATGATATCAAATGGATTTAGTAAAACTCCATGCTAAATCGAACTGTGATTTATGATCAACCCATAATAAGTTTATAAATACGGGACAATTAAAAGTTCTAACATTAGATATAAGCAAATGATAATGTTTTCAATCAAATCTTCATCAAGCTTTAGTCTGTATATTTAAGTTTAATGAAGATTTAATCGTTTTCCCATGTATGTTATTAAAAAAATTATGATGAATTCCAAGTACGTTATAATTTTACACTGCACTGCTTGTGATTTTTCTGCTACCCAGTAACGTATGTATATCGTTTCATGTTTTTTATGGAAATATTTATGTACTTTAAAAGTAGCTTTGGTCAGTAATGGATTCAAGCTGGAGATTCGTTGTAAAAGGAGAAACAACTGTGTTTACCTGCAATCTAAAATGAAGCTACTATTTAAATAGGATGATTTTACGACGAAAATTATTTGATGTCTGAAATATGACTGACTGGACCCCAACTAAATAAGAGAGAAATCCTGGATACCATGGAGTGTGCAGATTGAAGGCCTTAGCACTTAGTTATGTGGAATCGTGAGTAGGTATCTTAAGAAAGCCTCGGAAGAAGGACTACGCAACAGTCAAGAGGTTTTCTATTTTCATGGATTTACCAGTACATATTTTAGCTAGCTGTTACTCATATTTTTTATCTGTATTATTGAGAACTTGAGTTTTTCATTATTTGAAAAACAAGTCACATAGTTATTTTTAGTCAAATTAGTGTATACCACCTTTCCTTTATAAGTAAACAGCTTTTATTTGTTGTGGTAAATGGATCTGCGACGATAGATAACTTAGCATACATTCTTTGTAGACGCTTAACCTGTTAGTCCTAAAAAATAACTAGACGAAAGCATTTTTCAAACATCGTTGCTGTATCTTAACACCACTGACGAAAATTTCTGTATGTAATTTATAGAATGTATGGGTGTTTTTGAGATGGATGATTTAATAAAGAGACATTCGTTGTCACTACTCACCACCACGTAAGCTTAGTTCGGTTAGAAGCAGGTATTTTGATTATTATACAGGCGTCAAGTCAGTCCATTCTGATGACAATACTATCAAAATTTTTTAATTATAATCCTCTTTTTTCTGTTCCCGTTGGCTGTTTTGTACAACTGACAGCTCATTGAGTGATGGATGATTTCTCCACAATAATCTACGATTCAATCAAAATCCATATGTCTGCTAGTTTCCGACTGAGTTAAATGGTATGTTTCTAAATGTTTTTTGGGATTCTTGGAGTTTCGTCTCTTTGGTAATTTAATTTCCAACAGGTGTTCATATTTGTTAATTCGTACTTCCAGGGACTGTCATTAAAAATTGTTGGGTCACATAAGACACGAATACGTGAGCTCTATCGGGTCGAAGCATTAAATTTTTGTATGCTTGGAGGGGTGTTCTTTGTTTTCAAAGAGTTGTGATGTGATATCTTTGACAATATTTGTATCTAATGATGTGTAAATATGGTATATCTACCTTTGTTGGTACTTACCATTATTGTCTTCTTCCTTGTTTGTACTTCTGAAAAGACGTCAGAAATTTATTGGCGATAATAAAGTCTGATCCTCTCGTGTCAGTTCATCTTTACACCATTTTCGTATGTACAGTGCATGTAACATATAATTATGTTTTGCCAGTTACACA